TCCGGGTATTCCGGTTTCCTCCCACAGACCAAAAACATGCATGTTAGTCTGGTAACTTTAAATTGTCCCTAAATGAGAGAGAGGTTGTTTGTCTTTAGTTGTTTTTAACCCTGTCTGTACTCTACAATGTTAACCTTTTAGCTATTATCGTTTTCCATTTGGATCCATTTGGACAGCACTTTTGGCCTTGCTGCTGTTTTAAGTGCTTTATAAATAAAGTGGTTTGGTATGCTTTCTTTTACGATTGTCACAGTTTTTGTTAAATTTCAGGTCTGTCTTGTAAATGAGTCCCTGAGGCTCAATGGGACTAACCTGTGTAAATAAAGATTGAATGAAAAGTGACACAACACCACTGTTGTTCCCTTTTCCACATAGACACCAAAGTTCTGACCAGTCACTAGGGCATTAACAGAGTACTCGAGTAATCTACACATCGATTGCTAGGACATGTATCGAGGTTAAAAATGTAACGTCGAGTATCCGTAGTGACGTCATATTATGTGACCACCGTATGACCGTAGGGGGCGGTGTTGCACTGTTGCAGGTCACAGAGTTTGGTGTAACACCGGGTCCAATCCACCAGAACCAGCTTCGGTTAAGTTTAGTTTTTGACGTGCTGCATGTTTCTTCACATTTGCAGTTTAATAATAAAAACTAATAGTTTAGTTTTTCCTGTAACTTATTTGCAGTATGATAAATGGTAGGAGCATAATATACGCTCCCAATGTTATGTTGGTCCTTTTTTGTAAATAATTACCTTTTTTTGCGGTTTTATTTATTTATTTATATATTTTTGTATCTTGAGATCTATGGCGTCATCAAATACTCGAGTTCTACTCGGGTTTTATTATGTTAATGTCGAGTTTAAAAATTATATACTCGTTCAACCCCTACCAGTCACACAAGAGTTGATGCTTACCAGTCAGACCTTGAGCAGAGAACGGGTTCTCTGAGCTCATCCAGGTACAAAATGACAACATTTTTGTCACATGAACGTTTTTATTAACCTTTATTTAACGATGCAAATCCCACTGAGATCACAGATCTCTTTTGCAAGGAAGGCCTGAATGAGCCTAACATGCATGTTTCTGGTCTGTGGGAGGAAACCCACACAGCACGGAGAGAACATGCAAACTCCACCCACAAAGACCCGAGGTCCAGCCTGGGATTGAACCCAGGACCTTCTTGCTGTGAGGCAACAGTTCTAACCACTGAGCCATCGTGCTGCCACGTCTTCACTTCTCGAGGAGAACTGTAATTTAAAACTGTTCCTGAGCTTTAAGATGTTCTTGTCCCCTCAGGTTCCCTCACCCCTCCCTCGATGGCAGCGTCCCGTCTGGAGGCGGCGCTGTCAGAGGTGTCAGACATTAGCTCCACCCACCGCCAAGGCCCCGCCTACATCTGGACAACGCTGGAACACATTTGGCTGCAGGCTGGTAGGACAACAGAACACAAAGACATTTGAAGTGGACCTGTCTCAGAAATAGATTTGTTTTTGTTGGGCAAGAAATATTTTTATAACTGAACAAATTCACCTGAGGGAAACTGAGATGGACAAAATCAGATTATAGAGTTGTTGTTGTTGTTAAACCTAATTTATTACTTTATTATTTGAATACTGAATAACTGTTTTATAATTGTAAAATTTAAAAGATTTCCAGTTTTTTTTTTTTTACTCAAACAAAAGCAGCTTTCAGTCAGAAACAGATGAGTTCATCCTAAACTTCTAAAAAA